CGCGGAATATGCAATTATTGAAATATCAACAAACGCACAACGGGTGTATTTGTGCCTGTCCACAAACGTCATCCCGTTTTTCAAATGACGTTCATCTTATTTATGTTTTGTATGCGTGTGTGTATATTATATGTTTATAAATGTAAATAAGAAACTGGAGCAGAAGCAACAACAACAACAAAATGCCCCGAAACTGATCCTAAAATATATATATATTAATCAGCAATAAATTCCATTGACGTGTTATCAACTTTTTTTTTTTCATTTTATTCTGAAGATACATAATTATAAATGTTGTCGTATTCATAACATCCATGTATGAACACATTTACATCCTTATCACATATACAATTCTCGTTTTTTTTCTTCTCTCTTCTATTTGCGGAGCAACACTCAAAGCTTAGTAAAATTATGCAGTCTGTAACGAGAAATTAGATACATTACAACATTTATTTTTTTTACATATAGATTTGAAGTTTTCTGATTAACATGCACAATTTACTAATTACACAGCATGCATCTACAATTACGTGCATTGTTTTCATTCAAACGAAATAGAAATGTAACACAAGAGTTTTGTGAAATAATTAATAATAATTATTGAAAAACTTTTCGATAATTTCGTTGTTAATTACATCATTATTTAAACTAGATGAAGATGAAGTAGAAAAAGTGTGTTCGATTAAAATTCGAAAAAAATAATAGTAATGATTAAATATTCTAGGCGAAGAGATGTGTCCATGTACGTGCACAGTTGATTTCGCTATATAAGTATTAATTAGCTGGCCGGATTTATATTTATATGACCGGTAAAATTAAAATAGCCGAGTCGTTAGTTTGCATAATTTTAAATGGAAATTAGTTATGTGAGTGCGTTCGTTCGTTCGTATTCTGCTCGTATATGTGAAACAATTTCTTTCTACTTTATTTATCCTGTGTCCTGTGTCGATTAAGAGAGGCAATGATGATAAAAATGGAACCTCCTCACGCAATATACACGAGAGAACAGGTTATAAGAGTAGTAGAGGAATGAACTTACATGCAACTCAAATCGTAATTATTAAGCATTTATATATATATTTACTTTGCCGGTAATTTCTATCTATCCTATCTGTCCGATACTGAAAGAAAATGCACGGAGAGCAGGAAAAAAATCCAACGAATTCATAAATTTCCGCATTATTACGTTCCATCTCTTTCTGCTTCTCTCGCGCTACGGCTAAGTCCGTCCGTCCGTCGTCTGTATAAGCCTCGTTTTTATGTTTCTTATTCCTCTTTTTACTTTCCACTATAAGGAAACCATTGCACACCATCGCCTCTTATACAATATGGTTTGCACTGGTGGCTCTTTAGGAGTTCTCAAACGTTCTTGGAAACGTTGCGCACTTCATATTGGACAAATAAGGATCGCATCGACAACCTGAACTTCAGCTGGTCTTTGCCATAAGTTGGAAATTATAAGACTTTATAGAATCTCTACGATTCTATAATCTAAAGAATAAAAACAACACAAAGCCACGAATCTAATCAATTCACATTCTCTGCTTTACATCATCCAATCTAGGAATTAGTTCATTTTCATATTACGCATACAAAATGATCTAATTAACTGGCTAATTTCAAGCCAATTTTAAGTTAAAATAATCAAATTTTCAATAATCAGCGTTAAAAATTTGTAAATTCAAAGTTTCTCGGAGTTTTCGTAATTTACGTGATGTTCTTAGAATAGACGTCACGAACAGTTTTCATTTATAAGCCTTTTCAGAATTATAATAATAACATCAAGTAATCTTCAATTCAATCAATTAACTTTTATTTATTTATTAACAACAATAAATAGATATATTCTGTACATTAAAAGATATTAATATTAAATGTTAAAAACGTATAAAATATGTAAGAACTGGAGTTTCGTTAGGAGGCGAAGAGGGAGTTTGGTGAATAGCCAATTGTGAATACAAAGGAAGACGTACGGCGTAATACCACGGAAAAAGAAGAAGCATGTCTTTTGAATAGAATTAGAGGCAATATAACGTCAACATTTTTAACATTCCGGACTCGCGCAGGCAAACGACCGGGCTGGATTTTATGACCTTCGTAATTTTTAAATATTTCGTCCCCTTTTTAGATGCACTCAAGAATGTCCCGGCATATCCCAGATGCAACCTTCTTCTCGGAGGTAGAACTTTACGAGCCTCGAACATTTTTTAAATACTGGAAGAATACCCCCATATCATCATCATCATCATCATTTCTACAGATCGAAATATTATCGTATTTATTTATTGTGGATATATGGAAATATTTAGATTATTAAAATTAACAATTTATGTCAAGTGTTTATTGGTGGTTTGTAATGGAAGAGACTGACGTTTCTTTTCCATTCTATTCAGGGGAGAAACAGCGTGTAAAGAGAGAAATGCTATGTGAAAATAAATAATGTTGGCTTTTAAATTTCTGCGTGATTCACTCCTATTCAGTGAGCATATAACATTCCGGAGGAGACTGTGTTAGCGACAAACAACAAAATGAAGTGAAAGTGGTCAATGTGCCGAAGTCACGCAGTCAAACGAACCCGAGAGCTAAGCTACACACACACAATATATATATATAAACCAAACTCGCTTCTTGTGTTTATCTCCGAGATTCATTTTCTTGCATTTATTTATATTCTCGGACGAGCGTGTGCATCTTTAAAACATTAATTATTAACACATTAAACGCTCCCCTCGTGTGAATTAAACCGTACAACTAACAACAGTGAACAAAAAGCAGAAGAAACACACACAAAAAAGTACTAATTGAATTAATGAAATTCCAACTCGGAATACTTTAGGAATTGGAAATTGGAACGAGTGCGCTGAGAAATATATATACACTGCTACGCAACATTGTGTTTGGATATTTATCATGTAGCTACACATATATCGAAATGCTTTCTCTTTACCTGCAAATTGCGAATAAAATGACAACCGACGAATGCACAGTTATTTTTCGCTCGCTCGCTCGCTCGCTTATGCAACGATGGTGGTAGGTAGAAAACCAAACCAGAAATTACAATGAGATGTTTGAACGTTACGCATTCACATATATATTCGTTAATTCCTAGAGTCATAGTTTGAAAAATCCTCCTTAAGAGTTACTCATAGTTTACGATCAATAAGTTTTGTTCTAAATTGCCTAAAAATAGATAAAATTAATTGACTTGTGCTACGCGAGAATTGCCCTGAAGTGAGATAATCTGTTGTATTAAACAGTAATATTACCATCGATTTTGATTAGACTAACAAAACCCTCTAAGTCAAGGTTAACTATTTCAATAGTGCAACGACTGTAGATCAGCTAAATCCAACATTGATTTTGTGATTTAATATTTACTTTCGACACAATCATACTTATTCCAATTATCTAATGCAATTATAAATATTTGTATAACTACAACAGTTATTAACAACAAACACTTCAGTAAAATAAAGACAACAAATCGTTATTTACATTATTCAATTATTCTTTTAAATCATTTAAATATCGAATAAAATAATTGTTACAACTCAAATAAAGTTAATTAAATTTGATTTATTTTCGGTGTTTCCGTAGAGATACACTCACGATTGTAAAATGAGTGGAAAGATAAAATGTCCCGTGTATTTGTATTAAAATTGATGAAATGGAAATTAATCTGATTTATTTCATGTTTTAAATCTTTCGCCGAAGACATTTATTTGTATATTATGCAGATTCCTTTGAAGAAAATGCAGTCGAGAGAGAAAGAGAATATATACATTTCTTTTCCGACTAAAAATATGAAATTCACATTCCATTCCATATCAGCGGAGGCGAGAGAGTTAATAATGAATCAATCCCGGGCATTTCTTCTTTATGTAAATGCACGGGACGGCCTTTTCGAATCTAATGAATAAAGGAAAGAAAAAGCACGTACAATCTGGGGAATGTTATGGATATGAGTAATCATGTGTTAAAATGTTTCTTTTATCCCGGAGGAATGTGGAGGCTCGCACATATGCGCGCTCACACACATATAAAAAAACAGAAACAGAAGCGGGACTATATTTGTGTTTTTTTGTAAATGATTTCTAGAAATAGCCACGTCACAAATAAATTTATGATAAAACTGTAGTGGTTGTCTGAATTCGACGCCACCGACGCCAAGCCGTCTATTAAACAAAACCGCATACGGATTTCAGACGCGCTTTTCAAATACCTCAGCCTCATCATCAAAGAAGTCCTAGGTATGCGATAGGAGCTTTCAGAGATTCAAATGCAATGCAACAAGAGTGCATTTGCTGCGACTGGTTGTGAGGTAATTGGAAGGAAAACAAATAAATACAACAAAAAAAAACTGCAATCGCGTATAATAGAGCAGTTGCGAATTTCCAATTGGAATGTAACACATAAATTGGTTCGTCTGAAGTGGGAAAAATGCTAATGAATCATATTATAATGACCTCAAAATCTTGAGCAATGACCAAAACATATAAACACACACGCAAATAAAAAAAAAACGGTGCACTAGTGGAAAGTGCTGATAGATCCTTACCATATTATTTATGTTTAATTCAAAATTGGTCATCGACATTCTACTAATATAATTTTAATTTTCGTTTTATTCGCTTCGTTTTATACTATGTGTGTTTATATAAAAATGTGTTGTCTTTGGCATATTTTCCTGATGATGGCAGCACGATCACCTGGTAAAAAATGTATTTACTTAAATTTGGTTTTTCGTTAAAAATTTAAATGTCAGTGGATGTGATCTGATTGGAGAGAGAGAGAGAGAGATTTGAAATTTCGAACAATTCAAAAGCTCTGTGCGGCTGCTTCTGGATGGATGGATGGATGAATGTAGTAAGATGGTCCGTGCGATCGTTTTTCCCTGTGCCGTTCAACTTTTCCCGCATCAATTTCATTATGTGCATTGCGTTTGGAAACTGTCCGCAAGTATCTAGGAGAGATTGTCGAGCATTGGAATGCGAGCTTACCTGTCCCGCGGGTCAATCCACGTAGTTTTCTTCGAGTTGTGGTCAATAAAATACACTTTTCCATCATAATCCCTCGCAAAATCCCATCCTTCGGGCAAAGGTATTTCACCATTTCTTTTCCTTGGCATTATTCACTATTTAAACCGAACAAATCCACAGCAACTGGTACACACACTACTAACTACTCGGCCATGTTGAATACCACATTATCTTGAGCGGTTACAGGGCGTGACGTCACGTGGCTTCGACCAATCACAGCGGGCAGCCTCGGGAAAGGAATGCGACTATAGTACTAACATATACAATGCTAAACAGAGGTGCGCTCGGTCCTTTTATACTTATCAACGACACTTGCACACTTCCATCTGTACATGGAGGACCAAAAATTGAATGCGATTATTGCAAACAGATCGAGCAAGAGCGAGATGTATGCGCGTCAATCCTCACATCTTCTCTGTACGTAGAAATCCGAAAAGAAAATGTTCGGCTCCGGAGTAGGAGATCAACAGCAGCAGCAACAGCAGCAGCGTTTATTCAAATTCGAGAATACCATCAAGTTCGTGCCGACTCTGTCAATGGTCTGCGGGCAGTAGCAGGCAGCAGCAGCAGCAGCAACAGCAGCACGATTTCCCCATTCGCTGCAAAAATATCGCCGATCGGTGGACAATACGCGTGGCGATACTAAGTTATGCGAATGGAATGCGCCAGGGTCTATCCATCCCACATTCCATCAAGTTTAATAGCGCCTTCCTAGTTCGCATATTTTGCGCAAGGTGGAGACAATTATTGATATTTGGTCTAGATAAAAAAAAAATCAAAATAAATTTAAATCGGCCGACGCTTTGCGCCATCTATCACATTCACCTGAGAACCGAACGCACGGACGATCCGAAATCTTTCTTTCCAAGCTCTTCCTTATCTTTTAATGTTCTACAATAATCAGGTGTTATTTCCTGTCTTCATACCTAGAAGCAGTCATATCATTAAAACTAATTTATCTTATTAAAACCTCTCATTCCACTTAATTAAGCACCCATTAATGAATAGTAGCTTCGGAATGTATACGAACAGCAATCCCTTCAGTGATATTAATTACCGTTTAATTAGATCATCTTCATCTTAACTTTAGCTACACATCCACTGGTATTTTTAATACATACAAAGTACTATAAACATACCGCTTACTTTATATTAATTACCACTTAAGCACTCTTATAATACTTATTAATATAATTAATAGAAATGTAAAAGCTCTGGTTTAGTTTAAATCATAGATGGATGGATCTTTGAAAATATGATTGTAGGCAACCAAATTAACTATAATTCCACATCACACATCAGTTCAAGTGAGGTTGGAAATTGAAAGGTGACGTTTGCTAGAAACGTCAGTGATTGTCAAAATAATCTGAGAGTCTAAGAGTTGAATATTTAAAATATACTTCATTTGTGTTAAGTCTTCAGCATGGAAACTTCGGATAGTGAAGATTATTTCGAGAGTGCGGATGAGGACTTCCTCTCCGAAGAAGAACTTGATAAGAATGTTAAACCAGCTGTGCCATTACCAAGAGATCTTTCAATTCCTGAAAAGAGTGAAAATAAATCTACAAAAGTGGCCTTAAATGAATATGTACAAGATACAGGTATAGATAAAGTAGAAAAGAATGATAATAAAAATGATACAAGTCAGGCGCTAAGGGCAGGTTTTGCAAAAGCGCCTAAAAAAGTGGACTGTTGGTTTCCAGATGTAAATGAAAATAAATTGGACAATCAACCAAAGCAGATTAGTGGGGATGTAATAAATAAACCAACATGTGAGATGACAAGGAACGAAGAAACAGAAAAAATAGCATTATCTGCAAATAGAATAGACAATGTTGTTAAGGATTCAGATAATGCAACTGTAAATAAAGGATTGGAATTAAATATTGAGGAAGAAAACGTTATTGAAGATGATGGTTGGGATAACTGGAATGAAGAAGTTGTTGAACAAGTGACAGAAACTGTTGATGTAGAAAATAAAGAATCCAGTGATGATAAGCCAGTAACAAAGAGTTTAGAAGAAAATTTAAAGTCAGAGGAAGAGAATGAGGTTGAAGATGATTGGAATAATTGGAAAGAAGAGGATACTAAGCCTATGGAGAAGAATGAATTACAAAAAGAGTGTGAAATAAAAACCAAGAGTAAAAAACAGGAAGAAACTAAACCAAATGTTGAATGCAACATTGAAGATACTGATGATTTATGGGGAGATGATGAAGATTGGGGTGCTGTTGGTAAGGAACAAGCAAAGGAAATTATTAAAAAGGAAGTAAATGCTGGAGTTTCTAAGATTAATGTAGTAAGTAAGGAGACTGAAGAAGATGATTTATGGGGTGATGATGAAGATTGGGGAGTAGATATCAAGCCAAAACAAGAAGTAGTTTCTCAAATTAATGTTAATGATGATTTGTGGGGTGAAGAAGATAATTGGGGTGTGGAAGAAGATGATGATAATGTTTCTGCTAAAAAAGTAGATGTAGAAGAGAATATGTGGAATGAGATTTCAAATGAAAGTAAAAAAGGATCATTATCTGATATCACGAAACCGTTGGATAATATTGTTAGAAATCAAAACTTGGGTGACAACAGTTGGGGTGGTTGGGGCAATTGGGGTAAATCTGTGCTTTCCACTGCCGCGAATTTGACAAATCAAGTATCACAGGGTCTCACAACAGTAATAGGAATACCGGATCCAGAGGAACTTGCCAAACAGCATAAAGCGGAAAAACAGATTTTCGAGTCTGCTGGTGCAGATGTGGAAGAGGTTGATGACCACAGTTTCGGATTAAGTAATTTCGTATCGATATCTAAGATAACAAAGTTGGTTGAAAACACTGGGACCAAAGTAATATCCGGTGGATTAGATACTTTAGAGACAATTGGCAAAAAGACTATGCAGGTGCTTCAAGAAAATGATCCAGGATTGAAAAAGAAAAGAGCCTTTTTAAAGATAGACCAAGACAGACCTGTGTTATCACAGATTCTAAGGGAAGCCAAAGAAAAGGCGGCAGAGGACAATAAAGTTTTAGAGAAACCTAAGCAGGTCAACTATGAAATGATTTTTGATGATTATCAAGGGTTGGTTCATCTCGAGGCTCTGGAGATGCTCTCAAGGCAATGTGATATTAAGGTACAATCAGTGATCAGTAAAACTGCCGATGCGATGGAACTGCAGGAGACGATGGATCAAATTAAAGCGTTGTGCGATCTGCAGGAGCTCGACGATGATGACGATAGTTGCGACGATATTACCGAACTAAAGTCTCGAATCGATGCGGCTCTAGAAGAACTAAATGTGCCTGTTAACTATAAAAATCTTTTTAAAACTCTAGAAGAAAATGACATGTGGATAAGTGCAATTAATTACGAGGAAATTAATGAACATCACGTACATCATAAAGCCATCGAAACGCTAGCAACAATAACAGCATTAATTGTCGAACAATTCCATAAAATTGGTGAACTGGTATTAGTGAAGAGTCATAGGAGCACTGCGGACGAAGCGGACAGTCTAGTCCAGTGAGCTTAATAATTCCTAAATTTGTGTTTTTTTTATTAATTATTAATATCTCGTGATTGCAGGTTGACAACAACATTATCAGGAATAATTGGAACAACTTCATCGAAATACTCTGAAATTTTAAATAATCTTGCAAAAGAATCTTCCGGAAAGATCTCAGTAAATGAATTAATTACAAATGTATTTTTTGAGGTAAGTTAATATATAACAATAATAGCAATGTAATATAAATTTATCTATTTTTTCAGGCAGCAAACAGTAGTAGGTACATAGAGGATGCTTTCCAATTGTTAATTCCTGTTATTCAAGTTGGTGCGATATGAATGGAATCAAACATTTATTATTTATTCATTTTTAACACGTCTTAAGTAGTAACTTTATACTGTAATTTATGTTTAAACAAAGCTTAGCCAAGATCTATAAAATATCTATTATAATGATTAAAATAATAAATAATTTTAAATTTGTAAACAAACTTTTTAAATTTTATAATAACAAGTGATCGTTCATTACTATCAAATCACTTTTCTGTTCAGTTGAATCATGTTAATGTTGGGTTGGTGTGTGTGATCATTGTTTCCCTCTTTTACTGCCAGTCGGAGGTTTTTGCAGTTGGAAAGTGTTCGTTGGGGCGCTGCTATTGAAACTTTGACCAAATGTATTTGTATTTCCAAACATAGGTTTTTCTGTTGTATTAAAACCTAGAATAGATTGGTTTCCAATATAATAAATACAGTGTAAAATCAGTGCACATTACTAGATTTTGTTAAGTTGTTAATAGGGTAGGGGAGTGTGTGTTATGTGATATTGAAATAGTAACAAACAGAACAATACTGGAAAGGAGATTCTATCTAATACAAATAAAAAAGTATCCACATGTAGTGATTTTGGAAATTTCGATTCATTATTTATTTTTGATAAAAAATATAAAAGTTTGTCATAACTTTATTATTTAACATTCAAATGTGTAAAGATTCATTCACAAACGACAAGGTATGCAAAACTACGCCTATTCAATACAACACATTTATGAAATATTCGCTCTCAAAGTGAAATTTAAAAAACAAACTTAATTTGGCTGTGTGTATTGAATAAAAACAACACGAGACAAGTATTAGTCGATACAGGGTATTAATTAGGCTAATAATAATAAGAGTAACTGCAGAACTACTACACATTATTTCCCTAATGAAAATATCTTACCGCCAAATGAATTCGTCGGTTGGAAAGTTGGAGCTTGATTTTGAACTGCCGCTTGTATAACGCTTGGATGCGATACGGAATTGAACGGCGTAGGTCCAGTTCCCATCTGGGGCGGCTGGAAATGTATCGTGTTCAACGCGATATTCAGGGCGTCGGTTTCCTTCGTCTTTTTATCAAACACGTTTGTTGAATCGTTCAGCATGTGCTTTCTGAAATTAAGGTACTGCTCCTTTTGACTTTCCACTTGACTGTGAACCGATTGCAGTCGTCCCGCTAAAGCCACGAACGCTTCATGGATTCTTCTCATACCCAAAGCCAAATCTACAAAATTATAATAAATTATCACTTGCAAACGCAAACATTCGTCATACCTTGAGAGCTAAGCGGTGATGATTTCCCAATATTCTTGACATACTTATCAGTATTTTCAATTTGCAGTTTCATATTCTGCAATTCCCTTTCAAAGTTATCCACCAATTCCACGAAAAATAGGTACGGAGCGGTGTTTTCGTATTGCAATCCCATTGGTGTATCGTAGGTCCTCTGAGCCATCTCGACGTGTTGCAAACCTTTGGCCGTATCATATTTCAACTTCTCTGCGACATTCTTATTCATTTGTAATTGTTTCTCCACTTCGTTCAATAAATTATTGACTTGATCTATATCAGATTCCACTCGTCGGAATTCTTTGATTGAATACCGTGCTACGTCTGAGCTGTATATCTTCTGCTGCTTCACAAAATTTTTAAAATTTTCCACTGTTTGTTGTATTTCATTTGGCAGATGCTGCTCTTTTGGCGCTTGTTCTGTAGTCTTAGTTGCAGTACCTGTGGATGGTGTGGATGAGGCTATCCCGCCTAAACCCACAGGAGCTGCAGAACTTGCTGGTGCAGCAGTAGGAGTATTTCCAAAAGCTTCAACATAATAATTAACATTTATCAACTATCAACAAAATATACTTACAAAGTGTATTTGCGCCAAGGCCAAAAGAAAGCCCTCCACTGGGTGCAGAAGTAGCTGCAGCACCAAAATTTAATGGTGTTGTTGTAGCAGCAGAAGAACCAAAACTCAAACCTAATGTTGGTGCAGAAGTGGCTGCAGTTCCACCTAATGAAAACCCAGTGCTTGTACTAGGTGTACCAAAATTTAGACTAGTACTTGTGGTACCAAAATTCAAACTGGTATTAGCAGCAGTGGTAGTCGCTGCTCCGAAACTCAATCCTGTGTTAGCTGGAGCTCCAAAGCTTAAACCAGTCGATGCTGCTGCTGGTGTTGCTCCAAAACCCAATGCAGGTTTTGATGCAGGAGGTGCACCAAATAATCCCGTATTTGGTGTGCTTCCAAAGGAGAGTCCAGTGTTTGCTGGAGCAGCTGCAGCTGGTGCATTCATTGTAGGTGTAGCACCAAAAGTCAAGCCAGTATTTGTACCGGCTGTATTAAATAATCCAGCATTTGGTGCACCGAAACCTACGAAATAAATTGATTTTAACAACTACGATATAATTTTAATTTATCCCTTTACCTGTTGCTGGTTGTTGAGCCGGTTGCGATACTCCGAATGTGTTTGTTTGAGGAGTTACACCGAATCCAGTAGCTGCAGGTCTACAGAAATTTACAAATATTAATCTTGATTTGGACAATAATAACATTAATTCTTACTTGGAGCCAAAGGAGAACGACATTCTGTACAAATTAGTTAACGAATATTGTTTAAATTAAGTAAATTAACTTTATATTGTTCTTCGGTGTTATGACAAAAAATTTACGAGGTTATGTTTTCGTTAATTCTCACGAAACTCGTATTTTCAACTTGTAGAATCTGGAGCAGGGATACCAAAGCACCAATTCAAATTGAAACAGGCAACTTTGTATGCACCAACTGCAGAGACATCTGTACAAATATTTAATATTACTAAATAATTAATATAATCGGTCGATAGCCGAATTATTTACTTATATTGAACATCATGAAATAATAATGATATATAAATAGAAAATTATAAATAATTAAACTCGCAGGTTTTTCGTTATGAGTAAATTAAAATTTTGTAATATATTTAGTTTAAATTACAACATAAATATTAAATGATTCTTTCCTTCCTCATACTTCTAGAACCTCTATCATAGATATAAGTTTACTTATTGCAATATTACTTATTACATTTTTTTTCTTCAGTTTTGTAAGTTATCCGATACACGTCGATTTTGGTCTGCAGCAAATTTCTAATTTATTTTATCTTCTTGATTGTGGGGGATGTGCGCGCTCGTGCATAGTACGTGTATCACGATTTAACGTAGGGTCTGAGGGCCTACGTGGTCACATTTCCACTTTACATGGGGCGATTTTCTAATGCTGCAGCCGGCACCAATGTTTCATTACAATCGCATATTTTTTCAATAATATTTAGAACATCTTCAATACTTTCTTAATAATTAGTTCACAGTTTTATAATTATTTTAAATCGGTTATTTTAGTAGTAAATTTTTTATTTATAATAATATAGTAATGTTTCATATTGTTAAATTTGAGTTTAAACCATTTGATGGAAAAATATAGATGATTATGTATATGCTATGTAAATATATACAATATTTGTTCATTTAAGTGAGGGCTGTCTGCAGCAATATTTCACGCTATAAGATGTAGTTCATACGTATTAATATGATTAACTGTAATACAAGATGCGTATTTGTATTAGATGTATCTTACCTTATGATTTCGACAAGACATATTCGTTGAAAAGAGGAAGGTG